AAAAAAATAATTATTATTTTTTCTAGTTGTCCATTATGTGATTTTTGTAAATAGTATTTGCAGTTTTGTGGTCAATGCTAATTGAGCAGATCCAGGGGAGAACTTGGGAGGTAACCTTAAGAAGATTCAGAGAGAGTGTAGTTGGGAGACAGAGGGCTAGAGGTACCACATAGGTAAACACTTGATGAGAACTGGCAGCCAGATCCTCTTAACCTCCAGCTGATGAGCTTGATGAAATGCAGGTGTGCAAAGGAAGTCGATGAAAAGGAAAGGTCCACAGGTTGTCCAAAGGTACTGTTCCCTATCAGCAAGAAAATTCTGGGTTCAGTTCCCAGCTTTGGGTCTTTCTGTGTTCGGTTTTATGTTCTCCCCAGGAATCCAGCTTCCTCCAACAATCCATAAACATGACTGTTAGGGTTATAATTGTTTTTTCTCAATTGCCCTTGGATGGAAAGGTGTTTTTAAATCTATATCTCTGTCCTGCAATGGTAACCTGTCCAGGGTGTACCCCTCCTTTCGACCATACAGTGCTGGAGATAGGCAACAGCCTGGTGTGACCCTATTGGACCAGCAGTAGAAGATTGATGGATGGACATTTATTCTGTAGAAATTTACTTTTCATTGATTTCCAGCATCAATACAGGGAGCTGAAAATGTTTGCTGTTCTCTTATCGCTGATTTTGATTGTTTTTCTGTTCTGAGGGTTTTCTGTCAGACCTGCTAAAGAAGGCCAACAGAGATTATGATGACAAGAAGCTTAATGACTACACACAGACAATTGTGAGTACAAAATCTGCAGAAAAAATTACCTTACTAGCAAGGCTAGTAAGGTACTTGCCGTATGTTGACCTATGGTAGCGTGTTTCAACATGCTTCAGCATGCTCATAACTTAAACAAATATAATTCAGAACTTATCCAACATATGGAGCTTTTTTGCCAGATTTTTTGAACATCAGGCATATGCTGGTCTAAATCGTCACGGTGTGACAGGGTCTTTATAAAGAGGTATATAAATCATTTTGTTCTTTTCATATTAACCCCAAAGCTTCAGACTAAAACATTCAAGTTGTTCTTTTTAAAACTACCGTATATATTGACTATGAGGACTATGAGATTGTTTCTTAATGATGCCAGAATTACAAAGTGCAGTTAACAGCTTGTCAAGTGCATAATTTAGCATTATGTGAAGCTTTGAATATTCATAGCATTTGTTGCACATCGTGCACCTATAGTGCTGAGATGTCAATTTTGTTGCCAGCATTGTCAGTCGGCCATCTGTGAGTTGAGTAATCTCAACAGCTGTTGCTTTAGTGGATCATTTTGGCTTGTGATTTGTTTATGAACCACCTCTGATAATATCCTTTGTTTTTTCGGCAGTTGAAGATGTTTGACACGAATGGTGATGGTAAACTTGGACTCTCTGAGATGGCAAGGTGATTAACATTTTTATTTGTTGTTCTTATTTTAGTATTCCCTGAAGTGTTTTCCTGAGATTAACTCTAAGGAGTTTCTGTCTTTTAACCACAGGCTTCTACCAGTCCAGGAAAATTTTCTTATCAAGTTTCAGGTAACATTGCATGGTTAAAAAAAACCCTTAACATACTTTGTACTGTTTTATTTCAAAACAAAGGGCTTTGTGAGAGTATTTCTAATAAAACGGGAGCAATACAGTTTGTCCAAGTGCCATTGCTGTATTGTGACATCATCAGCGGTGGAAGGGCCCCGAGCAGATCTGGTACCTACAGTGGCACCATGTTGTGTGGAGTCTTTTCAGCATGGCCAGTAAAGCCGGTCAGAGTTAACAGAGTATGGATGCAGCTACATTTAGGGCAACCCTGAAGGAAAACCTGTTGTTGCTGCAGAAGTTCATCTTCCAGGACAGTGACTCAGGTTATGCACACACAATAAGAAAGATTACAACACGTGTTAGAAGGGCTAGATTGATTAAATCTAATTCATAACTGTGACATAAAGGCTTCCAACACTTTTAAGACCTCTTAAAAAATAATAGAAAAGTATTTTTTTCTCACTTTACAAATCTTGCCATTGTTTGTGTTTGTGGGACACCTCAAATCCGATTAAAATACAAACCAATTAAAGTAAAAAAAAATTGTGTTTTTTAACAGACTACAGACACATAGGGACACAACTGTGGCACTTTTTGACCACTGCTGCTAGTTTGGCTAACAGCAGCAAAACCTTCTGAATGATAGTATGTTTAGACATTTGTCTTAAAATATGTAAAAAAAAAAATATTTCCTAAAGATAAGCATTAATCTAAAAAGTAAAACAAATATAAAACTTAATGAAATTAGATGTGTTTTTAAATCTACCTTTACTGCCACCATGTCAGTCGTCAGCTGTTCCACTTAAATAAGCTGAAGTCTGTTTGTTTGGGCGTGCTAGATGCAGAATTTGTCCATCCTCAGCATTTCGTGTGTGGCACAAATCCTACTTAACAGTGGCCATGTTGAAGATTAAACTAGGTGGAAGCACAAAGTGTAGAAGCATCTTCAGGCTTTCATGTTGCAAATATAGAATTCAGTAATCCGTTGGCTTTAACATTGTGATTTTTATGTTACATTAAAGAGGGCGCAACATGTGTGAAGAAAAACATTTAGAGCACTAATAGTTCAAACCTAAATCTATTTTGACCCTTTCTTCATCCCTTTGCTGCATGCTGGTCAAATCTAATTTTTTTGAGTAGCTGGCCCTAAATTGCTCAAGCATAGGAGAAAAAAAATATTGAAGTGGAGGCAGTAATGGGACAGTGAGTTTTTCATGAATGCAAATAAGATTATGGGATGGGAATTGGCATTTTTAGGCCTCAATGTTTACACCTGGCTTTATAGGAAACCAAACCCCTGTGTTAAACCCAGTAGCTGTTGAGATATAGAAACAGAGTGAGGAGCTTTTTTCCTTACAGGAAGATTTCAGAGTAGAGATGCTGCTGCCCTGTATTTAGTGCAACAAGGTAAAAAATTTTCAGCATTCGATCAGGAGCTGTCTTGAATGCCTATGCTTGAAGCCTTTCCTGGTACTTCTTGCCTGGGGAGGACCCTAAAATAGAGCCTGAAACATCTGGTGGATTAGATATCCTAATAAACCTAAAAAGAAAAAATGTGCAGTTTGACCAAGGCAGGCACAGTGTACCTTTAAAAATATCATATACATGTGATAGGTACAAAATTAAAAGCAACATAAGCTGTACAATCAAAAGCAAAACTTTACTCATGTAACCCAGGTTCTTTGATAACAGAGAGAGATGTCTCACTATGAGAATCACCTTGGGTCTCCCCGTTGTACAGCACTTTGGTAATCCACTTCTCCAAAAGGGAAGATCCACCAAACCAACCTCAAATGATTCCTTCTTGAGCAGGATTCCAGATCTAGAACATCTAAAAAAGCAGAAAATCTGGATAACAGACCTGCCAAGCTATGTATATGGCCAAAACACGTCTGTAACATCAGTTTAGTAAATGTAGATGTTTCTTAATAGGTTTGCGCATTATCTTGGATTTGTTCTAAACCGCAGGCTTCAGCCTCAGCCAGTTTTCACTCATATTAAATAATTTATTCATAACTATAATTTCTAAATATGAAATCTTATAAAGAACGCTATTTATCTGTATTTATTCATTTTCCTTTTGTATTCTGCATCCAGCTACTGTTCTGGGTTGTTGAATTTATGTACTATGGAGTAGTGCCAGATGACCTCCTGATGAAGAGGGATGGCATGGGTCCAGCTGGTCAGTCTCTCGATTACTGAACCCTGTTCAGCACATAGATCAAAGAGCAATGCTCTAGATAGTCTGAATGGCTGATAGAATATTATGGGTCAGTAAATCCAGGTGATACGTTGTAACGTGTTGCCTCCCAATTCTCCCGTTTTAATGTTCTCCAGCAGAGCAGCATTCATCGCGCAACATTACATACAAGAGTTTCTCAGTAATTAAAATCTTTGCAGCAATCAGTGTAAACGCCTCACAACTTTGTTGAATCTGGTGATCACTGGGGTTGGGGGAGATGGGAGGGTGAGGAAACGTATAAATATTGCTCATTACCATTTTTTAATTATGTATTTAAGCAGTCGTCAGGATAGATCTCCAGTGCCAACACAAATCACACTGCAATATTGGATGCTTATGATAACATAAATCTAAGATGAATGTTTTATATAAAATTATACAGACGTTCTAAGGCAGTGGTTCCCAATCTTTTTTGACTTGTTTACCCCTTTGGGCATTTTATCTTACCATGGGTACCCCCCTCAACCAACAGTGGAATGTACAATAACTAATTATAAAATAAAGAGTATTTTATTTAATCTTTTCAATGTGAGCATTTAATTCTTTGGCACGTTATTCGTTAAAACTCAAATAAAACAATATAATTTTGTTGCCGGAAGCAAGTAAGAAATCAAAATAAATACAATATAAAATCATACTATAAATCTACCTTTATAAAACTAGAGCTGCTCTGAGTAACTCCCCTAAAATCACATTTAAACTCGGAACAAAATACAAAAAAGAATAGTCAGACTGACATTTCTTTTACATTTATTTCATTATCCGTGACACCTGAACTTGTTTTGATAAGCTCAGGTGTGGAATAACAGCTGATCTGAGGCAGTTCTCTATATCCAGTCTGTCCCTCTGCTTGGTTTTGATGTGTGTCAAAGCTGAAGGTGAAATCAAAGAACTTACTTTTTGGTTGAAAAAGGGGTTTTTATTTTTCAGATGGGACTTCACAAAGCAGAACAGATCCAAACCATCCAAACTATTTTATTTTATTACTTAAGAAATAAAATATTTCCATGTACCCCTTGCAATGCAATCGCGGAATCACTGTTCTAAGAGTTCTAATCTGGCTTAAATTCTCCATCTCCCCACTTGTGTCGCCGTTTTCCCTTTTCCTCTAAAATATGTTTCAAGTATTTACAAGTTTTAAGCCTTGTTTTTTGCCAACACAAGCAAATAATCAGAGCCCTGATCATTTGACTCAGGTGTGTTGAAGCAGAGATGCATCTTAAAGTTGACACCTGTTCTAGTGTAAGCCTGGCTTCCCAGAGTGGACCCAGACATTACCAAGGAGAATCTAATGATCTAATTCTGTAATAAAGACCTTGGATTAGAGACCAGAATTTTGTTGCAATAAAAACAGCACCGATAATTGTTATATCCTGCAGCAATGTTGACTAGGGAGCAGTCAAATTTCAGTATACCATTTCCATAGTCTGGTGTTGATATAAGATTATATTGTCTTTAAGCCAAATAACAAGAAAATGAGCTGCAAAGAGTGCAGGAAATCATAAAATATGGAAAAAGCAGCGGATAGTTTGAAAGCAGCTTGCGAGACAGGATTTAGCTTTGACCAATCAGATCCTGTTGGTGTAACCTCAAAAAGTGCATTACAATCCATACTGTCAATCAGTATCAAAATCAAAGATTTCTCATGTCTATAACTAAAGTTTCGAATTTTTATAAAAAAAAATGTTTATATATATATATATATGTGTGTATGTCAATTTGTATTTGTGCTTACACCTATATTCTAACAGTCACTTAATTACTTTGATAAAACCAAAAAATGCTCATTTTGTTTTTGTTTTGGCATCACAGCAGATCCTTTTTTGTGTAATGTATTTAGCTGTGCACCCTTTATCACACTGCTATAATAAGATGATTTCTACTGAGCAGCTTCAAGCCTATGTTTCAGCTCACAGTTTATCTACACTGCTTATCCATACATTGTTGGATTATTATGACATTATAATAATGGCTGCTTAAAAAAACAGAGACAGGCCTTAAGCTTATTTCAATGTAGTTTTTGTTTGTTATTAACATCATTTGGATTCTTTTAAGGGTTTAAAAAATTGCAGCACAGTCACATTTTGTAAATCTACAAATGTCTTGCCCTATTTGTTCCAGTTTAAATATACTGGCCTGTAAGAGCAGATCAACAGTTTCTCCTGACCAAGGATTAGTCAGTCTGATGAGGATTAACTGAACTCTAGTCCCTGTTATCATAATCTGCATGGATTATGATCTGTGGTTTATCTGGGGCTTTTACTGCTCTCGAGAAATGTGCATTGGTTTCTAATATTCTCACTTTCTCTCACTTTTATGCTACAGGGTATCAGACTCACTGTTAAAGAATTCGACTCGCTCTTCACCTTCTATGATAAGGTTAGACATGTCTTTCTGTGTATAAATGTGGAAGGTACCCAAACTAAAATCCGTAGCTATTGTTGTGGGTTTTTTATGCTGTGTAACCAGCCAGACATCTTTAAAATGGACATCTGTTCACTCTGTACATGTTGTTACATGGTGGGGGTGGTGGAAAACAGATGATCAAGTCATATGGATGCATCCTCCAGAGAGCGGCTCATGTCAATCTGTCTAATGTAACTCCAGCTAACAGAAATCTAATGCAAATGTTGACTAAATGACAGCAGCAGACTAAGTGTACTTGGCTAAATGACGCCATTGTCAGTCCCATTTTGATATTCCTGAAAAGGATTGCAGATTTTTTGTGTTACTTAGCAACATATTTCCATGTATTTTTAATACTAACACATTTTTTTCTTGTAGCTTTAATAAACACTCACATTTAGAAATCATAAATTAAGATCATTTTAAAGATTAAAAGCAAGTGAATTAACAATTACTTAAATAGGCTAAAATTTATTCAACACAAGACTTGAAATAGATGCATCAGAAGAAAAATGTATATATCGATGATTCGCTAAATTTTTTAATATTTAAACACCAAACTGTATGAATATTATTGGAAATTATATAGGTATTAATATGCCATTCATTCATTTTATCAATCCTGTCACTTATTAAATTGGCACAATTTAAGATGTATTTATAGCTTTCAAAAATGTATATAATATCTCACTAAATTCTCGATAAACCAAATGAAGGCAACCACTCCTTCATTCCTTTCTGCAAATACCAGGCTTGTTATACTGACTTGTATACTTGTTATAGTGATGACTCAGCTGAAATCCAATTTAGAGTAGTGCTGTTGTGAGGACTCTACATTAGTCATGTTAAAAGCTGGGGGAAAAACTCTTTCTCCTATGGATAATGTCGTATCTGTTGTATTTCCTTTATAATAAGGATGGCAATGGCTATATTGATGAACAGGAGCTGGATGCTCTGCTGAAGGACCTCTGTGACAAGAACAAAATGGTAATGAATCCTTAACTCATTGATTAATACATTCAGAATATCTGCTTGTTAAATATAGCAGAAATGGTGATTCTGTATGGCTGTGTCCTTTCCTAACAGGACTTGGACTCGACCGGCCTGGTGGACTACAAGAAGAGCATCATGGCTCTGTCTGACGGAGGGAAACTGTACCGCACTGAGATGGAGATTGTCCTGTGCCGGGACTCCACACTGTGACCTACCTGTCTGCCTTCTGCCTGCTTGGGACCCTCCTGTCTTCCTACACTGCTTCCTCCTTCCTACCTCTCAATGTAACCTGGTGCATGTGTGACCTCCGGCCAAAACACTTAGAGCAAAGACAACGGTGCACCTGAAAGCACAGAAAATACCCGCTGACCTTGCTGTTTTAGATGTTTCTTTTCTTATAAAATATAAAGCTAAGTATTAAGATTCTAATGGTAACTGAATATTATTGTGCAATTTGCTTTGTATTTTTAAGTTATTAAAAATGTTCTCTGTAGATGTAGGAATATATATTTATTCTGTAGCATTTCCTTGTTTTGTTTATTTTTGTTGAATTTGTTATAATGTTCTAGTTTTATTTCAGGAGGCTGGTACTGTTCTATAGAAATATAAATTTGGAGAAAAAAAAATAAACTGAACGGAAATATAAAAGCTGCTCCAATAAGTGTTTTTGTCTGTTTCTCTTAAACACTCAGCTCTGGGTCCAGTGAGTCCAAAGATAGCATTATGTCAGGTCCACAGAATGTGAGTGTTTCCCTGTACTCTGAAGTTCCCTCACTGTCTCATCTCCTGCAAACAGAAAGTGTGTTGTAGAAGAAGCTTGTACGAATCAATTTTTTATGGTCTTAGGGGTACTGAGTGACTTTTTCAGGACCATTTGAGAGAAGGCAAGCAAAATAGGAGCTGCAGGATCAAATCGTACCTAATTTCCCTGAAAAAGGTCTGTCATGACACAGCATGAAGAACAACTAGAGCTTTAGGCTGCAACTATCCAAAATAGATCAATAAAAACAATAGAGTCAATAAGGCTTAACACAAAGGCTTTATATAAGTGAAAGCAATGAAGTGTAGACAAAAAGGTTTTTCCTCTGAATTTAACCCCCATGTGAGTGCAAGGCCATCTAATGTCCATCAATTAATTACCAGCACATTCATATTTAATTAAACTGACAAAGTGGAATCACACCACCTTTCTCATGCCATTTCTGCAACTGCACACATGATCACTAAATCCTCACTGCAAATGTCCAACTTTGCACACACCTGGGCCTGCATACACACACACACACATACATATATAAAATCCTATTGATATACAGGGGAACACACAGGGACGGTATGACTGCAGACCAAGCTGTGAGCTGCTGACAAGGGAAAAGAGAGTTATCTCTGCTCTGATTCCTTCACACACATCAGTCCCTCTCAGACTGGAGGAATAAGGCAAGCAGATGAGTTCACTTTATGCACAGCTGCACAGTATTGCAGAAATAGCCTCTATTCTTCTGCAGTGAAAAGTTAGAACTTGATTTGCAGCTGAAGGTAAAGGTTACGTTTAAAGTGCAATTTTCAGTAAATATAGTCTCGGTGTTTCATTTATCAAACTTAATTGGACTTGTCCTGGTTGAAGCTTGGTTGAACAAAGATGGTTAGAATAACAAGAACTATAGGGATTCTATTTAATGTTATGGAGAATCTTTATTTGAGAATTTTTAACACCTTTTCGATTATTTGGATTTCTATTGTATAAAACTCCAAATCTAATCATCAAAACCAATACAGATCTAGATTAAAATTTCCAACCATAGATTTTCATTATCAGTCCTGTCATCTGCAGAAATAGGTGACTCTGCAGTCATTGGGTGCATCAAAGATGGACAAGAAGCTGGGTAAACGAAGCTGGTGAGCCACTTTGTGGAAACAATCATCTAATCCTGAATAAAACTGCATAATGGACAGCCTAAGGGTTGCAATGATTCATCACTGATGTATGGCTCATAATTGTATTCAATAACGGTGATATATTTTTGATATTTCCGTCCACATTACAATCTATATGGCTAGAGCATTTGTCACTGACTGGAGTTTCTGACTTTTTGTAGTGTTATGTAATTTGCTTTTGCTTTTTAAAATCAAATATTTCTAAAATGTAATATTGGAACAGCTCTGAAAACATGTTAAAATAATTGCCATAAGGTTCTATAGGAATCTGCTGTGGGTTTTGTTTGCAGTCTTTCTGATGCTTTTATGTTTTTATACAGTATATCAATATTGAAATTATACAGTAAATTAAAAAAAACCTGAAATTAATATATTGTCATTTAAGTTATGTCTAAATTGTCCAGCCCTAGCACAGTCGTAAGTATGCGCTCCAAAACACTATTGAGCACCAACACAATGTCTTCAGTCAGAGGCTTTACCAGATCAATAGCAAGACAGAGCGCTACAGATTGTCTTTCCTGTCTACAGTTATTAACTTATATAAAAACTTACTGGAGAAAAAAAACTATGAGTTACAACAGCATTTAATGTCCCTTTAGGATCAATCCATCATTTTTGGGAATATATTTTGGCATTTCATTTTAACAAGATAAGTCAGAATACATGCAGTTTTAAGGTAAAGATGAGCTTGTTTTCACATCCTGCTGCCTCCTTTCTATTCTTTCACGGGGGGTCTGGTGGGTAAATCTATATCTTCTGTGCACAGATTCAGGGCTGACATGTGAGTCAAGGTCGGGTGTCTGTTTATTGCCTTGTTGGTGTGCCAGAAGATGCAGTTTTTATCTAGAGATTGAGAAAAGTGTTTCATGCACTGCCAGTCTCTACAGTTTGAGAAACCATGCTTACTTCCTCTAAGTAATTTACTTTGAATTTTTTTTCTTGTAGCTATATCAGACATTGTTAATCACAAGTTAAAAAATCATGTTTTATCCAGCAAATAGTTTTATTACTAAAGATAACAGACACATTTTCTTTTGCACTGAGAAAAAATGTTTGACCTCTTATAGGTGTCTTTTTTGTGCTTTTGTTTCATTTCCATCTTTCAGATAATCAAACAAATAGATTACAGCATGCAACTGTATAATTTTGTAGTTTTTGGATTAGTTTACCTACTATAACATAAGAGATAAAAGCTATTCAGACCAAACTGGCCTTACATGATAAAGTTGTTGTCTGATTTCCTAAATCACTTTTTATCTGATTAACCACATTGTTTCACATAATAACAAGAACCCATTTTTTCAGCTGGACTCTCATTTTATTCATATTTTTAAAGAAAAATAATCATTTTATTTTATCATTTGTAACATTTAAATGTTACAAAAAAGCAGAAAACAAATTTTTTTTGCAGAGCTCCTATTTGGAGGGTTATTTTTTAATTGCAGGATCCAGAAATAATCCATTTTGGTCACCTTGGTGCTTAAATATTTAAACATTTTAATTTGCTATTATTGATTTATATACCAAAACAGTGCTTAAAATTAGGACTTCCTAAACAAGGACAGCTATATTTCAGTGACTAAGAACTTAAATTACATCAGATTTATATATTCATATTAGATATATATATATTAGATATATTAATATAATTTATTTTGATCTATAGTTATACATATTTTGTATTTTATTTTGTGTATCTGAAGCATGTAACTAAAGTAATTTCCCTCTGGGATTATTAAAGTATGTCTGCGTCTGAGATTTACTGTGTAACATTGCCCTCTAGTGGAGTCTCGTGAAACTAAACGAGTATGCCTGAGGTAAAGGTCAAAGGTTATTAGGGTATGTTATTTTTCTCATGAAATACATTAATGAATGAATATAGCTATATGTGTGTTCATTGGGTTTTCAGATGAAGTCTTACAGAAAAAGACACAAGGAGAGGAGGTCATGTGGTGGTTTTCACAATAACATATTTTAATGCGATCTCTTAGAAACCCTGAGGGCCAAAATATGTCATGAAATACATAAATGTGAATTTCCCCATGAAACAATCAAATGTACCATGAAATAAACAGATGTCAAATGTATTCATAAACCTGTCTCTAATGTATGATTCAAATATTAAATATATCTTTAAGTTTTGTGTGTGTGTGTGTGTTTTTTCATACGATAATTAAATTCATTTCAATTTATTTATATAGCGGCAATTCACAACACATGTCAACTCAAGGCACTTTACAGTTCACCAGATCATACAGTAAAATTGATTCAAAGTTTTCTATCTAATGAAAACCAGTTGATTGCATCGACTCACTGACTCGAAGCATGCTTGTAACTGTGGAGAGGGAGAACTCCCTTTTAACAGAAAGAAACCTACTGCAGAACCAGACTCAGTATGAGTGGCCATCTGCAAAGGCTGTCTGGGGTTCAAGGAGACCGAAGCAGAGATACAAAAAGCAGGAAACACACAGCCAGACAGACGAGCTCCGAGCCAGCTCCCATGTCAGCGGATGAAGAGAGTACATTCAGCTAGTCACAGTCAGAGAAACAGGACTACACTGGAAAAAAAGGCAGATCTCCAACATCTATAAACAAAGGTGCTGATGGCAGCAGCACAGCTGATAATTCTCTCCAGGATGGTGTCACAGCCAGGAACAGACGAAGCAAAGCTACTATGAGAAAAAGCAGAGCGAGCATAACGTTTTTATGTGCCCCAGTAAAAAAAAAAACCTTGCCACATCCAGGCCTACCTAGTAAATTTGGTCTAAAACTGCCATTGTTGAGCCATATATAAATAGAGACAATTTTCTATCATTGATTTTAATTTGCTTCTTCTAGATCATGTTCACGTATCCCTGAAATAAATTTGTTATCTAATTAACAGTGAAACGACTACTTACTAACTAAAGACATGAACGTTTATTATTTCATCACAAAGTCAGGTCGACCAGAACAGCCAAAAGATACGGATCCTTAAAAAGAAACGGAATACACATCAACGTGGTTTGCGTAGCTCATGACGTTCAGTTGTGTCGTCAGCACGTACTGCAAGCGTATCAGCGTGATCTCTCCTGTCCTTCACTAACCGTCCACATCCTGCTAGGCTCCTCTCCGCCGAACAGCAACCATGGCCCTCCTCAAGTCAAACAAGGTGATCCACTGCTTGGGCAACATCTCCCCCGCTCTAGGAGCCTTGTCCAGCAGGAACAGGTAAACCAAACACCCGAGCTCGCCCACGCACATGCTAACCGAAAAGAGTGAGATTTTGCTCCTTTAACCGTGTGAGTCCTCTGAGAGATGTTCTCTTTACTCTGGAGCGTTTCGACATTTTTTGCCTTAGTTCTTTATTCACTTTTAAATCATATAAGCCAACTATGACGGGCGCCAGATAATGCTGCAATGTGGCGTGTTTAACAAGCAGCTGACAGGGGTCAAATGGTTTGAGCAGGCCCCGCTGTCCTGTCGGCTTATGCTAATCACCGTTGCGTTAGTTCGCTTTCTTTCTAAATGGTTTTGAAACACTTAACCCTTATTAGCGAATCCCTACCGATTTTTGATAACCCTGGTACTAGCAATGGTTGCTAAAATTATCTGTTGTTTAATAAGTCACTTTGTAGCACACGCCCCATGCTACGCATACTACCATGTGGAGGAAAATAATAGCCCGAGTTAGCTT